GAATGATGAGGGCAATGAATGTACAAATGTGCTTTACACAATTGATGTATGTATGGATTGTGATAAGAGTTGTATGAGCTCTTAATAAAACGATTAAAAAAAAAGATTTCTAGTCTCAGAGACCCACAGAAGCAGTTCCCCTCTGCCCTTTAGGATGGCTATGACCCTAAGTCAACTCCAGACCAGCGACAGAGCTTGAGTTCTGCAAGGCAAGTTGTTTAAGAAGAATGCATACCTGTTTGTTTTACGAACACATGGAGATTTGCAAATGCTAATGTTTTAATAATAGAGTATCCTTTAACTTAATATTGTCAATTCTGAGAATGTTTTATTTCTATATAGTGCACCCCACGGCCTAGGCACTGATGGCTACCTCCATTCATTTACATGCTGACGGTTGATCCTCTATGATAAGAGTTGCTTGGTTCCCTCAATTGACTCTAAGTGATTCTATTCTCTTTAAGAAACTCAGGTTTCCGCTTCGCTGGAACATTATGATTCGGAGGGGACCAGACATATGTTTTTCAATCTGAAAGTGGCATATTTGAGTAAATAATTGTAGATATATGGTAGAGTAATAGATATATGGCCAAAAAATAGAGGTAGAGACAAGAAGACAACAGAGATTAAAAGAAATGATTAAGTAACAAGCCCGTGCCGCATGTAACACAACACTAACCACATAATACCACTATTTCTAATTGTTTCTATCCCTGACATATCTAAGGGCATATTGTTATTACAGGAAGTGAGTCTAAGACAAACGTAGACTTCTTATATATTATGTCAAACATTGTCATTCAAATTCTGTGCTTGCTTTATTATTGAACATTAAAAATGAACATCTTATCTCTTGTCAATTTCTTTTAGGGCTTTTTTATCATCATTTGTCCAGACTTAACACCTTTGGCTTCCCAATTGGTTTATCTTAATCTGTCATTTAATGATCTCTGCTACTTTCCCACAGAAGTGAGTTCATTTTTATTATTGAAACATTGTTATCCATTTTCTTGTTATTATTTGTAATCTTAACAAAACTAGACCCCTCATAATACTCTTGAATTACCATCAGGGAAATACATTTTGAATTGCATCTACAATGACTTATTTTCAGAAATACCCGAAGTACAATACTTCTTTCTTGGAAAATTCCATGACATAATCCTCCATGACGCTTACAGTCAGGCTAGCAGACATGTTCTCATCAGGGTTTGAGCAAGGAATGAAATGCAGGTAAACCTCTTCCAGGTGGTCATTGTAAACTTCCAAAACAAGGTTCATGCCAAATAATGTGACATGCAGACAGAGTATAACCACCATATGCTGGAATAGGATATACTGTACTACCTATTAAAATATATCCAGCATAGTCAGCTACGGCTATCATTTTCATTCAATGACATTTAAATAAATGAGCCGTGATGAGTCATGGTGGCAGGTTGTGCTTGTAGTGTTTTTTGTCACCGGGTCAGTGTTCACTGAATAATTGGTTGCATCGTGAATTGACATCTGGAAGATCGATTTTTGATAAATGGACTAAGTAAATTAACCTGCTGCCAAGTTCAAGTGTATAATATTGAAGACATGTATTTTCCATCCTTTCTCTACAATACCCTTCTTATTTTCACAAGGGAGAATCATTTTTATTTTTCTAACAACTAGTACAATTTTTGTTGATTTGATTAGAACAAATTGAAACAATTCCCAGGAATATAGGGATCTTGATTCATCACACTAATTTCATCTTTATTCTAAATAGACTGAGAGAAAGCTTATTGATATATCAAATACTATTCCATTTTACTAAGAAAATAATGTATAGGTTAAGGGATCCATTAAGATAGCCTTTAATAAGTATACCTCTTTATAAAAGTATAAATGGATTATTTTTTAAAGTAACTAAATTTAATAAACCTTGTTTTAAAGTGCCTATCTTTGTTGTATGGCTATATCTAAAATATTCCATGGAGGTTGGTAATGACCAGCCTTGGAAGGGTTTGGCTGAAGGTAGGCTGCTCAGTCATGAGCAGGGTGCAAAGCCAAGGCATAGAAGACCAAGGGTCAGTGTGAATGGAATTAATACCAGTTTTGCATTCAAAATGGTGGAAACAGGCAAGGGACAAAGCCTGATAAAATAGTTCAGTCTAGGAACAGGCGGAAGAAGAATAGAATTAGATTTTTTAAAGTGAGGTTTACGGTACTGAAATAATGTTTCTGAATATCCATTTTTTTGAAGTTCAGCATATTCTTTTAAAAAGAGTTCTTTGGTTAAAGAAAAATGGGTCCTGCAGCTTATCATATCTCCTTGAAGGTATGATTTATCTTCAGTTGATCACATCTATTTCATTGTACAAACATAGGCTCTATAGTAAATTAAATAGAGCAGAGTAAGATAAAATAAAATATTTTCATTCTATTTCTTGAAGCTAATTGATCATGACATCTAAGAATACATCAAACACAATGGATTTTGAACACTGTGCTAGAGCTATGGAGGATAGGGTTAGCACTATATCCTAGGGCAAAGGGTGAACCACATGAGCTGACGGAAGCAACCTATATTAATTCCAACGTGTTTTCTCTAATAAAACTGAGGCAAACCTGGGTTAAAATTGGTAAGGTTTGAACTTCTGTTAAACCCAACAGGATTAGCCTTCACTTTAGGCTGCCAGGTGGAAATAGAATGAACTAAACTTACATGCAATTTAACTTGACCAAACTATTTAATATTTTAAAACTTACCATGAGATAGCAGAAATGTGATCTTAGGGCTTCAAATTAATTGCCCGGAACAATGTGAGGTTGTAATAGGAGTGTGTGTAACTCAGCAAACAATACCTTTTATTTATGAAATATCTCGTACTTCCATGAAATTTAGTTATCTACCTAACATGTCTAAATGGGGTTAGGGCAGGAGAAGGTAGGAGAAGTCAAGGAGACATGTGTAAGAAACACTCCCCTATCACTTCCTTTAAGAGTTGGACATTAAACGTGCATGGTAAATGATGAGATGAAAAACACCAGGCTTTTAAGTCTCCTGACGAAAAGACACACTGCCAGCACAGTGGTTACGCACGATTCCAACTCCAGTACAGCACCCGACTCTGGAGCAGTGCACTCGCTGCTAACTCACAGAGAGAGCCGCAATGGGAGCCCACCAGCTCGCTCCCAGGAGAGAGGTGGAGCACTCTGCTTCCGTGAAGACTTACAGCCCCTAAGCTGCAATCCTACTCTGTCCTACAGGATCACTCACAGTGAGAATCTACTTTGGTTTGCTTAGATGGATCAGTTCATGTGCTAGAAGGTTGTAATAGGACAGCGAGTGGTGGATAACCGCTGGATGGGTTTCTAGCAGAAGTGGTTCTATCTTAATTGTGAGATTAGAGGAGTCCAAGATGACCCTGTTAAAATCACTGTAATTCAGGGGTTACTGTGCTTCAAGCCCAACTTACACCCTCTGAGAAGTAACTTCAGAGAGAACACTGGGAATTTGAATTCATGTACATATTCCAGCCAATTCACTAAGCAGAGGACAAACCCTGGGGATGGTGTTCACTACTTAGAATCAGACTAATACATTTATTTATGAGGGTACATTAAAAAATAGTGCTAAGTTGACTGTGGTGATAATTGCACAACACTTTGAAATACCATTGAATTGTATGGTAGGTAAATTATATGTCAATCCAATTTAAAATGTAAAAAAGAGTATTGCTACTAGGGTTTCAGTTTATATATGCACAGGTTTCTTCTAAACAAAATGTCTAAACATGTCTCTTTGATCAGTGGTGGCTGCAGAGAATCTCTCAATAACACTAGTACATGCCTATTCATTTCCTTAAGGCTCCTTCAGAAATATCCACTCAGACCGTGGCTTATGAAGGGATCTGTTGGGCCACTTCAATTCAATTCCTGGTGACTTTGCGGGGATTTGAATCAGTAATACTGGTAGATTTTGTCCAAGCACGCAGGGGAATCATGAAGGCCGACTATGAAGAAGGTTTCAGAAAATGGAAGACTGCATTCGTGAGAAAAAGGGCAGAGAACTGGTGCCAAGGAATGTCTGTCCATCGTCACAATTCATCATCATTTGTGATCATTTTACTGGGGACATTTACCTCTCTAGACGCCTAATCTTGCCCGTTTAGACTTTTTTGGTTTGTTTACTTCCCAACTCATAGAACATTTTAAAAGAATATGATTTGTGTACCTTAGCTGCCGCCAAACTACTGTGTGGCATAATCTAATTCAAAGAGTGCATAATTCCTTTGGATAAGAGTTAAACAGATGGAACTACTGCCTTCAGGAGTGTTCAGACCTGGATGGAGGACATATGCCAATCTTTGCCTTAAAACAAGCAGCGATTGAAGTGAGGCATCAACTAAGTCCACATGGAAGAAGCATGCCAGCCTGTGTGATCCAAGGGTTGCAAATAATAAAATCCAAGTCCGAAGGAGGGAATGGTATCAGAACTTCAATTATGAACACATGGTTTGCAGAAGGCTGTGCATGACAGTGGAAGCCCCACATCTATTTGCACGGTCCCCACATGAACTAAAACTCTGGTGAGTCCCCTCTGACCATCGTGAATAACCTTGCTGTCACACAGAGAACATTGGGAAGTCGATTATGGCCGATGTAGTTAGGTTAAAATGTCGCACCTTATCAGTTGATCTCCCTCTCGACCCATTTTAAAGTTGTCTCAGTTTTGGGTATGTTCTGCTTTTTTTCCAATTGAGGTGTTTCTCTGTTTTGTGTTGTCACTGTTACTGTTTTTTTCCGTTTGCTTCCTGTTTGTGTGATGTATGATTTCTGCAGATGAAATCCAGGATAGGTAAATCTATGGACAGGACCTGGATTAATAGCTACATAGGACGATGACAGGGGAGGTTGGGGGAAAATGGGGAGCCAAAAACTATTAAATATGAGCAGGAAATGTTCTGAAGTTGATTGTAGTAATGATTGAATAATTCTTCGTAATATGATTGAACTATTAAATTGTATGGTATGTGAATAATAATATCAAAAAGAAAAAGAAAAATCGCTTTGCATTTTGACATTTTTCTTTCTTTTAAACATTTAACAGTTTTAGTGACATATAATTCACATGTCATACAATGCAACAGTTTAAATATATTAAACGAGTAGTACATGCTATTTTTCTTTCAAAAAGGTTCCCGCACATGGCCCTGCTCGATGCTCACCTTCAGGAAGAGAACACAGAAGATATGGGTGCTATAGCAAAGTGTCGTGAAAAAATTAGATGGTGCCAAGCTGTCAGCTAAAACGGCGTCTCGAGTCTTAAAGGCTTGTTTCCAAATAAGCAGCCATCTAAGTGAGATGTCAACTAAGTCCACACAGAAGAAGCACATCATCATCAGTGACCCAAAGATTGAAGATCATATCATCTGAAGCCAAGGCAGGAAAGAGTATCAGAGCCTAACTTGTGAGATTCTAGTTGGCAAAAGGCTGTGCATGGCAGTGGAAACCCAAAAGACATTTGTGAGATCTACAGCGGAAACAAACCTCCCCAGAACCCCCTCTGTCCATAGTACAGGGATGGGAATTAACCAACTACCAGGCAGAGTCATTGGGGAGAGGACGAGAGGCGATCAGAGTCACAAAGCTGACTTGAACGGTTAAACCTTGTCAGTTGATCCCCCTCTGATACATGTTGGGCCTGATCTCGTTTTCAGAATTTTCTGCGTGTGTATTTTGTTTTTGTTTTTTCCATATTGGGTTTTATCTCAGATATATTTTTGTCAACGTGGGTAGCCCTATTGAATTTTTGTTATATGATTTTCGGTATATGAAACCCAGGATTGATGAGCCTATACAGACAGCAAGTAGAATAAAGGTTCCTGGGGGACAGAGGGGGAGGATAAAGAGGAGCTGGCATCAAGGAGTTCAAGAAGGAAGAGACCGTTTTGAAACTGATTGTCCCAGCAATTGTACAATACTGCCTGATGTGATAGCTCCCCCCAAAATGATTTAAAAAAAAGGTTCCCATAAATCTGTAGCAGTAATTTTTTTGTAGCAGTAATTTTTTTACCTACCCTCATTAAATGCCGAATGTTTTCAACAAAACCTTATCAACTATGCAAAGCAGTAAAAAAGAATATAGCAACTTTATTCATAGAGCTAAATCTCAGAAATAATCTAGTTATCTATCAATAAGGGACTACATTTTTTTAAAATCATGAAATATACAAGGGTATTGTACTTAGCAATTTTAAAAAGGAAAGAACAATAGATATATGCAACCGCAGGAATAACTCTCAAAATATTAAGTTGAATAAAAAATACTAGCTACAAAAGACTACAGATTTTATAATTCTATTCGCCTGAAATTAAATGTGATACGGTGATAAGAAAAAGTATGCAACGTCGTCCGGTATGAACTCTGTAGAAAGTGTATACATGTGACAGCGTCGGCGCCAAGGACGGGGTTGGAGACAAGCTGAGAGGAAGAAATGACTCCAGGTGGTCACTCCCGGTCACTAACTGGTGAGAAGCGTCCATGGGAAACAAGAAGGTGACCATGGAAACCCCTTCTTCTATCGTGGAAGTCCATGAACAATGATCACAGTGTCCTGTTGGGTTTGGAACATGGGTAACAATTATAGCACAGAAGGAAGAGGGGGTCTCTATGGGGTCACATCATCAGATCTCACTACCCTGTTCCCCTGAAAATAAGACAGGGTCTTATATTAATTTTTGCTCCCAAAGAAGCGCTAGGTCTTATTTTCAGGGGATGCCTTATTTTTCCACGAAGAAGAATACAGTACACATTTATCATTTATTGTTTTATTAAAAGAGACCTTGCACTTTCTGTCTGCTCCGGCTGTGCTGTGGCCAACAGTGAAATGCACCGCTATGGTCCAGAGTCCAGAGTTAATGGTAGCTTCGGGCGGCCTTATTTTCGGGGAGGTCTTATTTTCAGGGGATGCCTTATATTTCAGCGAGGGGCAAAACTGTAAGTAGGTCTTATTTTCGGGGGATGTCTTACTTTCAGGGAAACAGGGTAGGATTAATATAAATATGAAGTACATTTTGATAAGATGTCTGAGTATATTGTCACCCCTGAAGCAACTATTAAGAAAAAAAAACTTAAAATAGTGTAAAAATATTGAAATGTGACACTAGAAAACATTCAACTGATGCAAAGCAAAGTTGGTGCTGCCAGGTGCCATCGAGTCAGTTGTAGCGCCAAGTGATTGTGTGTGCAGCAGCGGGAAGCACTGCCCCGTCACGTGCCATGGTCACAGAAGGAGGAGACTACGGACCAAACCAGGAGCCATAGAGAAACCAACACATAAAAGGCAGCCCGAAATCCAACTGCACAATTACCTCCGTAGATTCAGAAATAAACATCAGATGCATTCCTTTAATACATTCCACATATGTCGATAGAAAGAGACTGCTTCAACCTCAGAAACAGGATCTATAAACCACTTGCAGCCAATATCCTACTTAAGGGTGAAAGAATGGAAACGTTCCGCCTAAGATCTGGAACATTTCTATCAACACTCTTAGCCAAGGAAATTAGACGAGAACAAGAATTAGAAGGCTTTCAGATTAACTCAAAAAAACGTGAAAGTCTCTCCATTTGCAGGTGACGCGACGTACCTGTCCTGTCTACTCCTGTGAGTAGAGTTAGGGAATCCACTGAAAACTAACATCTCACTGCCATTGAGTGGATGCCTAATCATAGCGACCCCATAGACAGGGTAGGACGGCCCTGTGTGTTTCCGAGACTGTACCTGTTTATGGGAGTAGAAAGCCTGTCTTTCTCTGGCTGAGTCATTGGTGATTTTTAACTGCAAGCCTTGTGGATGGCAGCCAGACGTGTACACCACAGGGCTCCCAAATGCCATTAGAACGAATGAATTAGCTCACCAAGGTTGCAGCAGACAAGGTCAATAGATAAAAATAAATTGGCATATTTCTAAATGCTGACAGCAATTCCAACAACAAGACTCTAAAAACAATTCTATGAACAATAGCATACAAATTATTTAGGAATAAGTTTGAAAAAGGGCAACACGTTGTCTGAAAACTAACATTCCTGAGAGACCTTACAGAAGGTGTAAATAAATTCCATCTGTATGCACCCATGGGAGAAAGATATGGTAATCGGTTCGCATGAACTCAACATCAATTGATATAATGGATGAGCGGTTGTGGGGAAAATAGTTCTCCTTAATCTGGTCACAGCTTGATACAATTAAAGGAGGTTTAATTCAGAGCGTGGCCCACTCTTCGTATAAATTGACAATGTGTGGAATCTAGCTGATTCTGCTGGATTGGGGCCCTGCATCTGGTTAGTAGACCCCTTGTTACCGGAATATTGCCTGCCAGTCCCAGGAACCGTCAGTGGACTGCCAACCTGGCATTCATTCGGCCAATCTCAGATTCGTACAGTTCAGCATCCACCAACCTGTGGTCTTATTCCTTCATCTACCTGCTTCCTGTTAGCAGCCTCTGCGTCTACAGGAGTCACAAGAAGCCTTCAACTTACAGCCCGCGAATTTGAACCGGACTGGATTTATCCACTTGTACAACTTGAGCCATTTCTTGATATAATTTTCTTTCTACAAACAAACAGACGAGAGTCATTGCTTTTGCTTCCCTGGAGAACTCAGCCTAACACAAAGCTGCTGGTGGGTTTACATCAATGTGCTTCAGTTAGCAACGGTGTGATGAACTCTGGCACCAGCAGGGCTTCTTTTATCATGCCCGTTTACATAGCAGTTCCCCAAGTTTGATGATAGTGACTCAGAGCAATCACTATGGAAACCTCAACTGCCTTTTTGGTAAAAATTGGCAACCTGCTCCTGACATTCATATGGAAATTCAAGGGATCTGGAATAGCCAAACCACCGTGAAAAGGGAAAAAAACGTAACACTTCTTCACTGTAAGAATGAGGATAACATTGTTATGAGGAGTCAGGGTCAACTAGATGGCAGTGGGTTTGGGGTTTGGTTGAGAAATTTGGTATTTCCATAGTGGTTACATGTTGGGCTCCTATCTGAAAACTCAGCATTTCCAAACCACCAGCTGTTCCTGGTGAGAAAACAGGGCTTTCTACTCTCTCAGAAACTCACCGGGGCAGTTCTGCCCTGTCCTACATGGTGACTATGAGTCAGCATTCCTCAATGGCAGTAGGTGAGTGGTATGATTAAAAAGATTTGATTTCATGTTCAGGAGCGCTGATGTTTGACCTTATTGAGACGCACAACAGAGAGAGACTATATTAGTCAAGCAGAGGTCATACATTTCAATGGTATATTCAATATTTTATTTCATTTGAACAATCAGTCTATAGAAGATAATTATTAAAATGAGGACAATCTGGCTAGTATGTCCGACAATCTCCTCATCACTAAGATGAATTCCACTTATCTCCCTGGTTCTCCGGATATTATCCCTCTCCCTCGTCACTGCATAATTGGCTCATGGCACCATGAACTTGGTCACACAGGACACTTTCCTATTTAGAGAAGGACCATTTTGAAGTCGAAGGCATACAGATTCAGCACTTTTCACTGTTTTATCATATCAGACATATTAATGCTGGTAACATATTTTGAAGACTTATTAATGGTACTAACTGAGATTTATAATACTTCAAGTTAACATTAGTATACCAATTCTACTACGTTCATTGGAAAAGATTTGGTTTTTTATTTTACTTACATTTGTTTCTCTGTTCTTTTCCCCAGGTGCTCTGTCTTAAACATTTACAAGTACTAAAACTGAGAAATAATCCTATCAAAGAAATCCCATCTGAAATTCAAAAACTTAAGTGCCTTCGAATTTTCACCATTGCCTTTAATTTGATTACTTTTCTTCCACCTGGGTAAGTTTGATAATCTGAGATTGTAAACACAGAACAAAAAGAGTTTCTTATTTGAAAAATAAGATTTTTTATTTGAAACAGCAGCATTTTAGCCATTCAGTTAGTTCTTATCTGTTCCAATTAATTATGGTGTTTAAAAAATCGTACCAGCTACATAAATGATAACCAATAAACATGCATCTCAAGGTCCAATATCTTTATAATGATGAATCCAACTCATGGAAAGCAGTTCAGTGAGAACCTTGCACCCATTCTTCGATTTTGTTTCTGGTGGTGCATGTGGAATTAGAAAATCTAAACTTTCGATGCCAAAATTGATGTGAAATGCTTATTTAAACTAGGGAAAGTCAGTTAACCATTCTTGTTTTCAATTTCCCAATCTGCAAAGCAAGGAGATTTTCCTGGGTCTTAATTATCTAGTGCTGGTATAGCAGAAATATTGCAAGCAGATAATTTTGGGGTTTTTTAAATCACTTTATTGAGGGATCTTACAGCTCTTATCACAATCCATCCATCCATCCATTGTGTCAAGCACATTTGTACATATGTTGCCATCATCATTTTTAAAACATTTTATTTCTACTTGAGCCTTGGAATCAGATCATTCCCCCACCACCACCCCTCCCTCTCTCATGAGCCCTTGATAATTTATAAATTATTATTTTTTCCATGTCTTACATCAACTGCTGTCTCTCTTCACCCACTTTTCTGTTGTTTGTCCCCCTGGGAGGGGCTTATATGTGAATCATTGTGATCAGTTCCCCTTTTCTCCCCCCAACCTTCCCCTTCCCCTCCTTGTATTGCTACTCTCATTATTGGTCCTGAGGGGTTTATCTGTCCTGGATTCCCTGTGTTTCCAGCTCTTATCTGTACCCATGTACGTGCTCTGATCTCGCTGGATTGGTAAGGTAGAATTGGGGGCATGATAGTGGGGAGGAGAAAACATTAAAGAACTAGAGGAAAGTTGTATGTTTCATCAGTGTTATATTGCACCCTGACTGGCTCATCTCTTCTTTGTGACCCTTCTGTAAGGGGAGGTCCAATTGTCTGCAGATGAGCTTTGGGTCTCCCCTCTGCCCTCCCCTCATTCACATTGACAATTTTTTTTTTGTTCTGTGTCTTTGATGCCTGATACCTGATCCCATCAATACCTCAGGATCACACAGGCTGATGTGCTTCTTCCATGTGGGCTTTGTTACTTCTCAGCTAAATGGTCATTTGTTTATCTTCAAGCCTTTAAGACCCCCAGATGCTATATCTTTTGATAGCCAAGCACCATCAGCTTTCTTCACCACATTTGCTTATGCACCCCATTTGCCTTCAGCATCATGTCAGGAAGGTGAACAACACAGAATGCCAGCTTATTAGAACAAAGTGTTCTTGTGTTGAGGGGGTACTTAAGTAGAGGCCCAATGTTCATCTGTTGCCTTAATACTTAACATATAAATATATGCACATAGATCTATTTCCCTATTGTTATATATAAATATATTTACTTATGTACATGCCTGTATTTAGACCACTATAAATGTCCTTTGCCTCCTACTTCTTTCCTCTATTTCCTTTTACTTTCCTCTTGTCCCACTCTCATGTTTGACCTTGATTTGGGTTTCAATTAATTCCTGTCAGCTACATAAGCATATAGTCTTAACAAACAATATATTCCCTCAGAATTTGCAAGGCTAAAAGTCTGGATTCAGGGGCCCAGCTCTACATTAAAAAGACTCTCTTTGTCTCTCCCTTTTGGGGGGAGAGCTTTTGTCTCAGAATGTGTGGGCCCGGCATTCTTTAGAGATATCCAAGGGTCTTGACTTCAGTCTTTCCCGAGCGCTGCAAGGTTCTCAGTGCAAGGACCCCAGGACCATAGGAAGTGCTCCGCTCCCCACGATTCTCTTGGTGACAGTGAAGTCCCTGCGCTCTTTCTCACCACTTGTAAGACAAGAGACGTGACTGGAGCTAGGGTGTGACTCGAGTGAGGATGTGATTTGTGTCGTGCCCTCTTAGAAGGCTGTGACTCCACATATCCGCCGCAACGACCTTCCCTTGTAAACAGAGAGGGTGGGATTTGCCGCAAGTCCAGAAAATGGAGGAGACTTGCATCCGATCACCAAATGGAGGACAAGCACAAATTACCAGGAATCGTGGACTAGCTACACTGACCCATAGTTTGAGGGGATCCTACTTGATCTGTAGCACCCCGAAAGATCCCTAAGATCTTCCAGCTCTAGTCTGCAGAACTCTGTTTGTGTTTCCATCACACCTCTTTCTCCTAAACTTTCTGAACGCTGCCCTTAGGTAAATGCCACCCTTTTGATCTCAAATAGTGGGGGATTATTCTAAGGTGTGCGTACCTCCCTAGGGTTGTTATCTTCATAGACTTAACTGTTGTTTGACTGAAAAGTGGGCCATGGTGGGGCGGGGGTGGGTGGGGGGTGGGGGGAGCGGTGAGTTCAGCATGAAGTTTGAAGGTCATAAGCTCAGGAGTCTCAACCCATCTCTAGTTGACAAAGAAGCTTGACCATTTTTATGCATTTGAGTGTCATTCAATAATTTTCCCTGACTTGGCCTAAGACTGCTAATATGATCCCTTTCAGAGCAGCTGGAAATGCTAAATAGTCTTTCTGGCCTCAGGGTTGTTGAGATTGACGTCCTCGTGGTCAATTGGTGCATTAGACTAATTGCTTCCATGTGTCCTCAATTTTCAACATGAATTTCCTTTGGACAGGGAGAAACCAAGAGTTGCACTTTATATGGCCACTCATGAACTTCGAAGGCCTTTGTCACTGCTCATCGAAGTAGCATGTAGAAGGTTGTCCATGTGGACTGTTAAGCAATTGAACTTGGTGTCCCTTCGAATCCAGGGCTGCTTACTCTTTTTCCACTCAAAACCCCTTTCCATCAGAGAAATTTGCAACATAGTTCAGCATTCCATCAACGTCTCAGACCCAATATGTATTTGATTTTGAATTAATTTTTAGTCATTACACATTCGAAAACCTTTTACTGTTGCCAAATTCCCCCAACCCCAACCACACTCAGTTACAGGACCCCGTTGGGGGGGGGGTCTCAACCCACAATTCCAGAAGCTTTGCCCTAGGCCATGAGCCTGAGCCCCCGGATCAGCAACTCATGCCCTCAGAGTGTTTGATTGTGTTAAAGAAGTTTTCATCACTTTGCCCCAAGTTGGCTCCACCGCATTTGTGGATATATTTGCAGCAAATATATATATACATATCCCTCCTTCCAAATCCATTCAGCTTTTGGGTTGATCCATGTATCTACTCATAGATCATGATTATCACAGGATTGTGGGTTTTTATTTACTTCCATTGCCTTTAACTTCCACTGCTCCCAGTGTCTTCTTCTGCCTCCCTCGTTCATTTTTGTCCACTCTCCCTCGTATTGTACATCGCTTTCCCTTTCGCCCACGTAAAATCCACTGGACTTCCTCTTCATCTGGAAGTTCTATAGCTACCCTACTCTCTCTTTTCTTTAACTTTGTCATTGTATTTTTCACAAATTGATAGATCTGATTCCCTGTGCTCAGTCTGTCTTGAGTCTGTCTTACTTTGCATACGCCTGTACTGCGTTGACCCTGAGTGAGCATGAATGTTATTCTTAGATTTTTATGTTTTTGTTGGGGCTTCTGTTCACATAACTTCCTTTAGTAATTCTTAGAAAGGTGCTCATTTAGCAGACTCCTGTCATTTCTGGTTATCTGGGAAGGCTCTAATTTTGCCACTTTAGTTGAGGGACAATTTTTCTGAGGATATGCTTTTTGGTTGGCAATCTTTTTTCTTTCAAAGCTTTATACATCACTGAAAGAGAGGTGTCTTCCGGCTCCCTAATTTGGCCCTCCATTGATTCAATTCCACTCCTTCGTTTTGTGGATTTCTGAAATATTAGTATTAATCTTATGAATTTCCATTTGTTATTTTTGCACAGTTTCTAGTTTTCATTTACTTTATTCAGTGATTTCCATAATTCGCCTGAAGCTTTTTCAGTTTTCCTCAACAGCTTTCTTGATCATTCTCTCAATTTGTTGAAACAACCTAAAAATCATTCTTTTAATTTCTTTATCAGGTCGTCCCAATGCCATTTCTTCCTGAGAAAATGTTTATGGTTGTGTATTTTGATCACTTATTTGAGTCGCTCAGTCTTGTTTTAGTGTGTGTGTGAATTGAAATTTTCTGTTGTCACCAAGGCACTGCTAGGCTATTTTCTTTGTATTTCCTTGATGATTATACTTTATGTATTCTTTGGCACTCATTGCCTATCTCCTGGCGATTGTCATAGAGAACATGAATGTGTGTAACCTTTTCTGTTTGTTCTGTGTATACACCGTTGAGGCCATGTTTGCCTGATGTTGGCTGCTGATGGTCAGCTGGCTCAGACTGGGTCATGACCCTGCCCAGTGGGTGGGACTGTAGGAGGCACAGTGTGGCTAGGTCAGGTAGGCACAACTTCTGTTTTCTGGCCTGTGGGAAGGTGTGGCGGACAAACAGCAAGAGTAAGAAAATAATAAAGGAAACCAGCAAGTGGGGACGATATCAGTCAGAATTAATAAAATAGTATTTATTAACTAAAAAGAAAATGAAAATAAAGACAAACAGAAAATATATAATAGGTAAAACTACGGAGGATTGAAAAGAGAACAGTGAAGAAAGCAGAATGGAAGGAGAAAAAGGAAACTTGAATAAAACAAACAAAAAAAGAAAATAGTTGAGCAGAGAAAGAAGGAATAAAAAAACAAGGGAAGAGATAAAGAAAAACAATACCCCCCGCCAAAAAAAAAAAAATCCCTAGGAAAGGAGAAAATAGGGGCAGGGCCCAGAGATGAGAAAAGTGGGGCGCTGGGAACCTGGTATGGGTCAACTCCTCCTGCCAGCCTAAGAGCTCACAGGATTTGGGGGGAAGGGGTGGGGAAGGGGGATGTCCAGTCCTTGGTGCAGTTCTCGCTGGCCTACATGTTGTCTGGAGTCAGGGCACCCAATCCAGTT